TAAATTTCCATCTTCCTTCATTACCTCTACATTACACTTGCATTGCTCACCCTACATTCACTCCCCTTTATCAATCTCATCTCGAATTTCTCTCTTATTACATTGTCATATCCATAATCATTATTATGCTATGAAATTTTCCTATAATTCACCACAATTATCAAGCAATTAATAAAAATTTAGGTGATTTTTCTTATGTATTTTGTTTTCTTTTTTTAATTGGAAGCCCAACTCCGCTAGCTATTACAGCCTTCCCACTATTAATGGTACTTCTCAATTTTGTTTAAAAATCAGGGTTTATGAGGATAATATTAGAAATCGAAGACCCCTCTCGATGTTGTAAGCAGGGCGGCACTGGCACGATGCAGTTGGGCAACCGCACAAGGCCCGTAATTAATGGGGCCTAAAAATTATATACTCCTTCCGTCCCCTTTTATAGTGCTCATTTGTAAACAAAAGAAAAATGGAAATTAAGAAAAATACATAGAAAGTACAAAAATCAGATTAAAAGAAAAAAAAAAAACTCACTTAACAGCTTTTTCTCTCTCCTCTCTTTGCTATGTTCAAAAATTGATTGCTTTTTCCCTCCTCTAGAACCCTAGCTTCTTCTTCCTCTCTCTTCAAGTCTGCAATAGGGATTCAATTTCCTACAAAAAAAATTACATCATATATCAAGAATCATAGACGAATCAAAGCCCTAAAAATATTTAACGGAAAATTGTCGTAATTTGTGAGAATTCGGGGAAAAATAGACAAAATTTAACGGATATTTAGGGAAAATGGTCGAATTTTTTGAGGAATGTAGTCGAAATTTGCAAAAATTTAGGGATAAATAGCCGAAATTTGACAAAAAATTGCGAAAAAATGGTCACATTTTTTGGGTAAACTATTCGTAAATTGTCGGAAAACTAAGTAAAAATGGTACTCCTTCTACTCGTATTGGTGTGAAGAAGGCTTGTCTTCATTTTTTTTGGAAAAAATTGATTCAATATTGAAGAATTTGAAGAGAGTGAGAATGAGATTTTTTTCTTTGGAAAACAAGAGAGAGAAAGAACAGTGAACGAAACTCAAAGTAGATGGGGGAGAGAGAGAGAGTAAAAAAGGGAAATTTAATTAAAAAGGGGGGGGGGCACAAAATTTAAGGGGAAACATATATGAGGGTTAAATTGGGAAATCAGATGAAAAAAATGAAATAAATGAGGGTGTATTTGTACTTTTTTGTGTCAAAAAAAATAGAAAGATACTACTCCCTTTATCTCAGAATAATTGACACAGTCAAACTTTGCACACAAGCCGATGCACTAGTTTGATCTTATCTTTATATAATTAAATATTAATAAAAATTTATAAAAGTAGTTATATTATAAAACTTTATATTGATACCTTTCTAACATATTTTACGATAAAATATGTTTTTTATTTTGTTAGTAAAAAATTATAGTTGAAGTTAATATTTCGTCCATTTTTATTAGATGCATCACTTTCTATATATGGAAGTTTCATTTTAAATGCATCACTTTTCATTTTAGTGAATATATTACCTCTATTTCTCTCATATGACATGGCCCTCATTATTTTTTCAATCTATCTTTCTCTATTTTAAAAATTCCCTAGAAGTCCGCAATTACAAAAGTAATACACCTAATAAAAAAGGGAAAAGTATTGAATAGTGAAAAAAGTTCAACGTCTCAGTTATTCTGGGACGAGGAGAGTAAAATGGGAAGAATAAATTGGGGAACTCAAAATGAAAGTGAGCACTATAAAAGGGGACGAGGGAGTAATAATTCATTCCGAATATATTGTGTACCAAAAGTTTCCTTGATTCATTGGTAAGTAGGAGTTTGCATTAAAAGGATTAGAAAAGGTCAAGGGTTTGAATATTGGGTCCGTCATTTTTCTTTTTAATAAAAGTCATCAATTTTCCAGTTGTACCCCATGGGCCCTAGGTTGCTGCTAACTGTAAAATGGTAACTTGAAAATTTTGGATAATTTTTTTTCTTTCATTATTTACCTTTTATTACTCTTTCTCTTTCTAAGTTTATTTGGCCATTTGATTCTCTCTTCTATCTTACATCATATTTCTTAGATATACTTTCTCTCATTCTAAGTTTTTCATTTTTATAACACAAAATTGTGTCTAGAGTCTCAAATTCATCACAACAACCAACAATTAATAGACTAGTTTGTACATTAATAATTTTTTTTTAAACTTTTATCAGATCTTCTTCTGCGTAATTTTAATTGATGGATTAATAATTTTTTTATTTATTATACTATATTTGTAAAAACATGTTGCTAAAATTTCGTATTATAAAGTGTTGTTGATGATTTTGTGTTTAATCATGCTAGGGGTACACTTTTTAAGTGACAACTTTTTTTTTTTTTTTTTTTTTTGTATTTTCTTTGTGATGCGATAATTTATTATTAATTGCATAGTAATTTTTTTTCCGTGAAAAATTTACAAAGTATATTATTAATATTCCTTAATTGAATTTCTTTACAATTCTATCAAAAAAAATTCTTACAACGGCCCAATTTTAAGAAATCGCACAGGGCTATGAAATTTTTCCCCACCCCTGGTTGTAGGTAAAGCAACGTGATTCAAAAAATCCGTATATATTATAAATGCCAATATTAGAGGTGAATTCGGAAAATATCAGCATTTGAAGCAAAATTTTTGGACTTTGTGGGAATTTTTCATGGTTAAAGGTGTTGGAATTTAGACAAAACAGTGTTTAGATTGGAAAGAGAAGATTGTTGCAGAGGAATTGTATTGAAGAGATGAAGAAGATGAAAATGAAGAATAAAAAGGTTGGTGGTATAATAGTGTAAGAGTAGATGAAGATGAAAATGGAATTTTGGAGGAGAAAAAGGACTACGAATAGAAGAAAAAGAGTGCAATCAGCAGGTCAACATAGGAAAAGGTTAGTCAACATCGAAAATTAGAGTAACGTTTCATGGTACAGAGAAATATGTTTAAGGTGCTAACTTGCCAGAAATTTTAATTTTTAAAACGTCGTTTCTCACAAAAAGTTCTATATAAAAGTTGTTTGATACAAATTTTCTTTGATTAATTAATTTCTATATCCATTCTTCAAAATTGGTGGCTTCATTTAATATGACAAAGGTGAAGATCGAGATTTGGATGTTGATGAAGGTGCGATTTTTTCCATCGGTTTTGAAGGAGATAAAATTCGTCAATTGTTGTTACTATCAGTGATGAATCATTGATCCGATATATGAGTGTATATGGTTTAGGAAGGTAGGTGATTATGAGAAAGGAAAATAGTGGATTATGGGGAGAGAAGGTTCCCCACTATGAGAGAGGCGAGGAGAGAATGTGAGGATAAAAATTGACACAATACAACTAGTTATTGGCCCGGGTGATGCCATGAATCATCATAAATTTCTAACTTTGATCAAAATTAATTAAGAAGAGTTAATGTTGAACAATTTTTAATAAATAAATGAAAATATAATAATCTATATTATCTTTTATTAATATATATATATAAGATATATCAAATTTGAATAGGGATGTTATAATAATGTGGAAAGTTTATCAAGTAAATTACACATTATTGTAGATAATTAAAGCTATGCCAATGAAAAAAATTTCAAATAGACTAAACATTACTACAATTCAATGTGGTGAGAGATAGGTGATGACACATAAGGTGACACATGACGCACATGTGACACCAAATCATATTGAGAAAATTTGACACATGGCGTTAGCATGTTATAAACACAATCCTTTCCTATAATAAAAACATGTCAATTATTAAAAAAAAAATCTACAAAGAAATACATTTTAACAAAAAAAAGAACGGAGGAAGTAACTATTTTCGAGTCAAACAAATTGATCGAGTATGCTCAAGAAATTATTTTTGCCTCATCATGGAAACATCCTGAATATTATGTTTCAATTGGAAGATTTGGAGGGAAAAGGAGGGGGGAAGAGAACGAGATACCTAACCTTTTATCTATATTTATACTATTATTTTATAATTGAATTTTTTTTTGTCTTTTTGTGTCACTTGTCATATTCTTATTTGTCTACAATTTTTAAAACATTTTGCATTTAATTCTTTCATTTTCATAAAAGGCATATTGATTTTTTTAATGTTTAAGTAATTTTTTATTTTCCTTAAGTTACCAAATTAAGACATTGTTATAATTTTGATTTAATTTACATAAATATGTCACTTATTACTTAACATTGATCAAATAAATATTGTTTTTAATTAATCTACATCAATTTTAGTACTATAATATTCCAATCTGTCTGTAACATTATATTAATTTTTCACAATTATTCTTTTTTCATGAAGATTTTTTTAATTTTTTTAAAAGGTTTTATCAATTTCTAATTTTCACTAACAATGCATTATTGTTTTAGGAACTAATGAATCTACCTTATGAACAATTTATGATAAAAAATATCTTAAATTTAAATAAACAATTTACCAAAATGAAAGAAAATTATAATAAATACTCATATCATTTAATAAAAAATTCAATATAAGTTGCACTAGATAAATCTATCTAGTTTAGTTAGATATGGAAAAATCAAAGTGAAGGAAAGGGAAAAAATGATGTTACTTTCCCGTGTTGGAAAGGTTTGGGAGGAAAATGGAAACTCATTCTTCCATCCTCTCGTCTCCACGCCCGGGTAAGATCGTGTCTTATATGGGACATAATTTAGGGTCCCTAAGAAACTGAGGCCTCTAAAATAAATATTTTATACTGCTTCCATCCCAAGAAAAGAAACATGATCCTGCTTTGACTTTGCACGATGTTTAAGAGTTACATGTAAACATTAATATCGTTAATTATATATTGACAAAAATTGTACAAATTTGACGTTATAAACTTCATATTAGAAAAATCTAACAATATATCACATGATTTTTTACAAATATAAGTTAATGAGCATTTGAAAATATTTTTTAAACTTGACCTTTACAAGTCAATACAAGAACAATATATAGGGACAGAGTGAATATGTAATAAGTGCTTCAATATTGTGACATAATTAAAGTAAAGGCCCAGTGATCTACAAATGTAATCTTAAAGTTTAGGTGTTTTAGTAATCATACGTTCAATTCTAAAATTCTTTGATTTTTTTTTTTTTTTTTTAATCACTCTTCTCTTTTACAGATAACTCAACCCAAATAACAACTTAAGGAGTATGAAGTATTATATACTTATATGACTAACTTTTTTTTGTTCAAGTTTCAATATTGATAAAATCTTTAAATTGTTTGTTATTTATATTTTTATAGATGAGCAATAGATTGAATGCCTAATTAGCACCTTCTTAAATTTTGCAAACAATATGTAATAAAATCCATTAAAAAAATAAAACCAAAGTGAACTGTAATATTCAAAGAAAAAAATACATAGAATTTTCATTTACTGTAATTTATAGGCCAAGTGCCCACTTTTTGTTGTTATTTTACGTGGCCTCCATTATTATTGAGACGAGCCAATTCATCTCTCATTCCTTTCCTCCATTTCCCTCCCTTTTTTTTCCTCCACAAATGCTAATCAAACAAAAGCGTAAATAAACCATAATTGCACGAGTTCATCTACAACTCTACAAGTAACCATAAAGGTACAACTACTTTCATTACCCAGGAAAAGGGGCCATTGAGAATTGTTTGCCTCATAGTGAAAGAAAGCTTTCCTCTACTTTCATTTAAATTGGCACAAAATTGCTTCTTGCCAGTACCAGATAACATGGATAAAGAATGACAGATTACAAGACATGAGAACAAAGTATAAAGAAAATGTTGGACTAATGTTAAAAATATTATAAAAATCAAGAAAAAAAGAAAACAAAAACCAACCATAAAACTTCTAGTAACTCAAAGAGTATTATGGCACACAAAAAATGTTGAACTGTGCATAAATTTATTTATTTATTTCCTAAGGAAGTATTACTGTTTTTGACTAACCTACACTCGTCTTCGGCCACTGACTGAATCAACAGGAGAAGAGCTTGCACTAGCAGGTTTTTTCAAAGCTGCGGAAAAGGATAGTGAATGGTTAAGAACTCGACACTAAAAAACATTTCGAGTTTGAAAACAGAAGAGTGCTTATTACACACCAGAAGCTGCTCTTAGGGTGGACTTTACTTCTGACAAACGGGAGATACCGGCTGCTTTTCTGGCTGTTGCTAACCTAGATGGTTGAGAAGTCCTTGCAAGCATTCTTGGTCTGCACACAAAACAACATCGGCGTCATTGTAATTCTAGTGTGTACTCATGCATATTGCAGTAGTTTACAGGAAAAACTTAATGATCATTCTGAAATTTTCCTGTTTTAATGAACTTTTTATTTGGCCTATACCAACATAATATGATTAATAATGTATTTTATAGTTTTGGTTTTGACTGCATTCCCTTCATCCAAGGTATTTGTCATTGGAAATTAAGAGTGGAAATAAGGTATTTGACTGCAAAGTTATGCTAACTGAAGTTTTGGCAGTATATTAGTTATGCACAACGTCTCATACTCTCGTAGACCATATAATAAATGCGACACATAAATTTTATGGTTGCAGTTTGCCACTGAACTACTGAAGGAATCAGGATAACAGACACACTCAGGACAAGAAGGAAATCTTATAGCAGGAAAAAAAACTTATGCAAAACCTCAAAACAAGAGAAAACACAGAGTGCACATGAAATAGTAGCCAAAAGTAGTTAAAATACATACTTTTCTCCTCGCTTCTCTGCACTATTTGATGGTTTGGTTGCCTCATGTGAAGAGCTTGCTTCGTAAGTGCCATCGATGTCTGTTCCAACAGAGAGATCACCATCAGATATTTCACTCAATCTGTCATCATTACTAGAGTCCCCCATACCAATCACATCATCAACCATTGAAGTCCCACCAGAGTTCTTTGGTAGCCGGGGAGAATCCTTTTGGTCGTTTAAGTCATTCATGGACCATGATGCTCGTAATCCTTCATTTTCATCTTCGTGTATGGATAAGACACTAGGATCATAATACTTTAAAACTCCATCCTGATCAGAAGCTGATTTTGTACGAATTCCCATGCGTCTAACATTAGATACTTTTGGACTTCGCTGAGGACTACTTCCAATGGACTTTGTTGATGGCGATAAAGATCCATTCTTCAAGGAGCTTAAGCTCCGCCTTGAAATTGGACTTCTGGGATCTTTCAGTAATCGTTCAATCTCCTCATCTTTTTTAGCTATTGTATCTTTGAGAGATGCCACCTAAAAGTCCCACATGAATCAATAAGGTGTACGATTTTACATAATCCATATAGTAACATTCAACAATGCTTGATGTTCACAAAATTATACTTTGAAGTATCAAGTAACACAATTATAAGAAATATATTGTCCAAAATGTTTCTCATAAATCTCAAAAGCAATGCATATTTTAGATGGCAAAGGGAAGATATAATGGGCATCATCGCAAATTTTAAGCATTTTCTGAACAAGAACAACCAATTTGAATGGCATACTTAAAACATGAGAGTTTGATATTTTTAAGAATCAAATTTTTTTGTCACAACAAAAAGTAAGCAATAAGGTCCTTTACAAGTAATAAATTGCACTTCCGTTTCCTTTCTTTCGTATCACTTAAGAAGAAGTTTCAGTGAATAAATCCAATAATATGACAACAAACAGTCTAGGGAATTCTGTTATACAAGCAAAAGTCCTTAACTGAGCTAAAAATCATTAAATATATATCAATTGGGAAATGGCAGAGCTACATGTATCAAAGGATATCGATCTATTGCTTTTATGGTACATGGTATATACTCCGTATTATTCTGCAGTTTTGAAACTTAACTGATTAAATTTCGCAGTACCCATCGCACTAAAAATGGCACTGATGTTCCAGATCATTTCTGTTTGGTCTCATAACAGTTAAACTCTTTATCATGATCTTCATACTTCATGTAGCTGCACATTGAATCTTTTTTGTGTGCATTTTTAACCAGTATAGCAACTACACCGAAGCTCTGATTTTATAAACCTATAATATGACAACTGATACAGTACATCTAAAAGCACCCAACAGGGACCACATATGAAACTAATTATCAACTTTCATGAAATTGAACTTCAAATCAAAGTTCTAGTGATAACATTTAAGTTCAAAACTAAAAATCAACACTATTTTCCAAAAAGCCAACAAGTTTTTGCTCATCATTAAACTTTACCTATAAATTTCCATCGAAATGAACTTCAGATTTATTTTACTATTGCCAAGTGAAATCTTTACAACCACATATGAAGAATGATTGAGGCAAGCTGATAAACATTCAATTCAATATCATTAATGTATTTCTTTCTACAGTCATTTCGAAAGATGAACCTCTTATCAAAACTGGAAAGAGTAGATCATTAAATTAAAACATATAACCTACAGCAAATTAAAAGTACCGAACAAAATTTGATAACAATGTAAGTGAGGTCATTAATTAAATCTCAGCCCTTCGAATGATTTTATCTAACAATTTGAAACTTGCAACTGCTACTTTATCTTCTGACTCTCTTTCCATTCCAAGAAAGCTGGAAATTTAGTTGTTAACAAACTAGGCAAGCTTAATTCTAGTTTTGTAGAATTTATAGTTTGGATTATTAAAGCTGCTAAAGGGTTATTGATATCATCAACGTAAGTTTAATATTTTGATTCAATAATTATTAAGTTTTAGTCATTATTCATCAACGAACAGATTAGCTAGGTGTACCATGCAATATGTTCTTGAACCCATATACACATTTCCAGATCCAAGACTACTATACTTAATATCAACCAACTCTTTATGGTGATAAATTGAATGGTTTGTGAAAGTAGTATATAAGATGAACTAAATGTTTGTATACGTCTCGATTTCTAAAATTATTATGAATGTTGATTTTTGTGGCTTTTTCATATTTAACTATCAAGTCAAGCAGGTTGTTCTACTTCATTTAAAGTCAATCTATGTAAGCATTGAGTTACATTATATAACAAGCACCTGATCCATTAATTCTCTGACATCTCTTCCCTCTTTATTACTCCGTGCAGCACCTAGCTCAACACCAGACACCCTTTCAGCAAATTTTAAGGTGCTTAATGATTCAGTGTACGAATTCACGTCAGGATTAATCTGAACAAACATAAGTGTTTTTGCTCGACCACCTGAAACATTGAAGGCATGAGTCAAACTATTAAGTTTCGGTAAACACCATGAGGAAAGTTATCAAAAAGTGAGTCACAGGAAGAAGAGAGGGACAGGGGTGAAGTTTCAAAGGATAAGATGCGCACACCCAACAGGCGAGAAAGAGAAATATTACCTAAAGAGGCCTGAAGAACCTGCGTAAGCTTGCTATTTCTGTATGGTACATGGGGATTTTTCTTAGAAAGTGAAAAGATAACATCCCCGAGAGCAGATAGTGATTTGTTGATGTGTTGTGCTTCCTTCAACCTATCCCCAGTTGCTTCAGACCTGTCAACTCTCTCACTACCAGCAAGATCTACCAAATGAAGACTGCCATGTGAAGTTGCTCCAGATTTTAAATCTGTTCCCTGAACATGAATGGTGACAACACTGCACAAGTATTTACTATGCATAAGGTCAAGCTACTAATAATACTCATTTCAGATCAATCTTGATGTGAAATCTTGTCAATTTGTCCATTCTTTTCAATCATTAAGACCTATAGTATAACATTGAAAGCACAATCTTATGAATGTAATTTTTAGTATATACCTAGAAATGATGCTTTATAATAGTCCCATACAATATATAACAAATTAATTTCCAATTAATGTACCTTAGCCATCAAAGTCAAATGTACTCTATTACTTCTTCTATTTCTTTTTACTTGCAACACTTTTCATTTCACACTTTGCCAATGCAAATTTCAGTCAGTAATATAGTAAAGTTTATAAAATTTGATATTATGAAAGTATACTTTAATATGAATCCGACAAGATCCTATGGCTACGGGCTATATTTTACCTTAACTATAAATCATAAAATCTAGTCAAAGTTAAAAATGTGAATATTGCATTAGTCAAAGTGTTTCAAGTAAAAAAAATGAAGTATTTGAAATGGATAAGAAATAGTAAGTCATAAACTCCTAACAGCATTGTGCCTCACCTGTGCGAACGGCTACTTCTTTCATTCATTGCAGTAGAACTAACGGATCTGTTTGATAGTCCAATTTCCATCAATTCAATGACATCTTCAGTGGATCTGACTGGATGCATACTTGCATCTGGGACAGCAAGTCCATGCGGTTGAGGAGTGGCTAAAATCCCTAGTGTGCGCAAGTTAAGGAAACAATTATCTAACATAGCTATAAAAGCAGGATTATATGATGCTAGAACTTATCAGTCATCACGCTAAAAAAACTGTAGTAAAAGGATATTTCTTTTGTGAACCGTCATTTGAGAGTAAATCCCGAATTTGTTCATTATATATTTCAATCATTTGAACTCCTATCTCATAGGAAAAAAAGCTCTTTCTGTCTTCAGAGATTTGGAAAAGGTCATCTAAAGCACGGTAATTGACCCCCCAATCCTCCTTAGATGCATTATCCGGTCCACTCTGCCACAAGACCAATAAAATGAATATCTCTCAAGGAGACAAAACATCCTTTAGAATACAAGGAAAAGGAGAAAGACGTACCATTGTGTATGTTTTTCCAGAGCCAGTTTGACCATAAGCAAATATGCAAACATTGTACCCATCAAGAATGGTTCGTATCAATGGTTGAGTATCAGAGAAAACCTCAGCTATTTCAAGTAAGAATATACAAGTCAAAAGAAAGTTTAAAGGGAAAGTATCATAATGGTATAATATAGACCCTAAATAAAAGAGAACAAGATGAAAAAAGAAACCTTGAGTAGCCATAGGACCATAAACCTTATTGAATCTGAATGATTTTTGAGCATCGTTTGGTTTGGCAGGATTTGCAACAGTCAATTCTCCATGTTCCCCAATGTTCTCTAAGATTGTTTGCTTTTGATTCTCCCACGGACGGAGTGGTCTTACTCGACAATATACCCTAATACTACCTGTGCAAATAAGTAGAAGACAAAGGGTAGCATAAATAAATAATCACATCTCCCCTTCCCTGCATTAATTGTGGCATAGCTAAAACAACATCAAGAAAACAAACCTTTTAAATCCTGAAGCTCATTAAATAATTTGCGATTTTCATTAAAAACTTCATGATAACTCTGAGCTGCTTTCGCTAAATCTTTCAGCTTTGTACCTGAGCTAGTTAAGAACCTGAGTTATATTGTAGAAAAAACAATGCTATTCATAAACTGCAGAACAAGATCCACTTCTTACCTACATGGTTCAATTCCTCCAGGTAGGTCCTCTGTGACAACAACATTTCTTGCTTGATGTTATCTGAAGAGCACCTAAGCTCCTGAGTGTTGGCAATGTATCAATTTGTAGAGTTATGACAAGTTGATTTCCCATGTCAAAGCCGATAAAACATAAAATAATAAAATACATACCTGTAAGCCAGACCACTGAATCTTCACAAAGGCTTCATATACATGCTCCTTCTTGCTCCATCTATGATGTTTCGTCTCACAACTCATTTCAAGTTCTTTGATTTTGACCTTTGAATCTTCCAGATGCTGCTCTTGTTTCCTTAACCTTTCCTCCAATTCAGATTTTACCAATTTGGCCTCACTTTCAAGCTGCAAACTATGGATTTCATTTGTTTTTTTGGCCATTTCCAGCTCCTGTTTTAGTGATGAGATTTCAACAAGGTCTTCTTCCTTAACCTTTGAATCTTCTAGAAGTTTTTCTTGCTCCTTTAACCGCTTTTCTAAGTCAAATCTCTCCAGTTTGGCCTGTGTCTCCAATTCCATGTAGCGCAGTTCATGCATTCTTTTGGCCAATTCCAGCTCCTTTCTGAGTGTTGAGACCTCAAGATTATTTTCGTCCTTCTGTTTCTGTAACTTGGTAGCTTCCTGTTGTTCAAACCTTTTCTTCTCCTCCATCTTGCTTTTCTCAGACTGCTCATCAATAAATTAAAATGCCAAAGCATGATTGCATTAATAAGTTTAAGAGTTTCATGAGCCTTTCACATCTAGAAGTAAACAGAATATGTACATGACCAATTAATTGCAAGGAGTAAGTAAGACGTCTGAAGTTTGAACAAAAAACAATCCAAAACTTTAGAACTTGTCTATCGCCCATTCAAGCCCATTGTATAAGAGTTAGCTAATCCAAATCAGCACATGATGTTTTCAGGTGTAACAGGTAATTAAAAAAAGGTTCAACATAGAATTATTGCAGCAATTAACGTGATTGAAGTAAACAGATGTCACTTCACACTGTTTATGAAAAATTGTGATGAACATTTTTCCAATATTGACACAAATATGCAAAAACGTACTATAATTCATAAACATCGTCAACTGTACCTTTATATGCTGGAGCTGGTTCATAACAATCTGTCAAAAGGTGGACAGTATTTGAGTCACAAAAAAGATGGCAGAAAATGGTAGACTTGCTACAGCAAGACCAAAAAAATAATTAAACTACTATTTGAACTACCTCACTCTCCTCACTGGTCCCTTTGGCAAGGGCTTCAAGCACTTTAATTCTAGACCGATATTTTTCTTCTCGTGCCTTAAAAACATTGCTTTGCTGCAGGAAAGAAAAATATGGATACTGTTAATATATTCTAAGAAATTTGATAACACAAAATAATTTTGAGGAACACATTACAGTGCGCAAATGTTCTGCTTGAGTTGCTATTCGTCTCTCTATCTCCAGCATAACTTTTCTTAAAAGACATGCTACACGCTGACAAAAGGAAATCACGACAAATAAATAAAAGAAAGGATATATTAGATTTTTTACTTAATCATCTCCATGCACAAACATAACTTTCAGAAAATAAAGAAAAAAAATTATAGTACTTGAGGTATTTCAGCATTTTTTCTCTCTATGCTTTCATCCAGAATTCCATTGATAACACTCAAAAGTGACTGAGTTGGAGCATTCTGCACAAAAGATGATAATTATGACCTTGAAAGAATTTGCATCTTGAATGCTAAGATTCACAAATATGAAGAACTTACATCTAAGCTATTTGACTTTAACATTTCTGATATTTTCGCAGCAGAAAGATCAGTATAAAATCCTTGTTTCATCTGAAACACTTCATGGAGCTTATTTCCACCATGCAGTAGCTTAGTTGGTGATTCTAAAAAGAGAAAAACGTGGTAAGGAAAAATAAATCAGGTCATGAACTCATTAGACCTGAACATATCTGAACTTATTAGACTTGAACTTCTTATTTAAACTTATTAGCCCTGAGCTTCTTTAAACTTGTTATTCCTAAACTTATCAGATCTGAATTTCGGTGAACTCATTAGAACTGATACAAGTGGAAAAAAGGTGGGAGAATACAACCCTGGATGTATTATTCCTGAACTTATAAACCTTGAACTTATATCAACATACAATATCTGAAGTTAGTAAAAAGGGTCTCCAACCTGGTGAAAGTGGACTACATGCACGTTGAAACTTTGAGTCTGACTTCCGCCTTTCATCCACAGCTTTCAGAACTGAGCCACCAAAATTTGGCATTGAATGTTCTTTGAGAGCTAAAAGGCAATCTAGGACAGGTTTCATTGATCCCTTCAAGCCATATAAAGCAGAAAGTTAATTCGATTTCAGAGGACAGGTTACACAGTTATACAGGATGGGAATGGAGGAAAGATATCAGAATCTTGTGATATTAATAGCATATGTCAAGAACAGCAATTCTTATATTCATTCTTAGAAATGTGCATGTTTCCTTTTTGGAAAAGGATAGTAATCATGCGTTCATACCCTTATCATAAGCTATCAAAATGACGCGACTTAAAAACCACATATTTTATTTGTAGTGAATACCTTCTCTAGGTCTGATGTTTCAAAACTAGGCAGCCCATTTTCAGACATGGCAGTGATAAACCTCTGAATTTTTCTTCTCTTGGACTCTGGAGAAGGACTGGAACCATCAACCTACAGATAAAATCGATATCTTATTGTCAGAAAAATAAAATAATGAAAATAGCCAACAACATATGAAGCAAGAAAAAAAAAATATATATATATATATATATATATATATATATATCTTACTAACCTCATCAATAGAAGTGTATTTTAACTTGTGCAATATGTGACATAATATGTCGCCATCAAGCAAAGACGCTCTCATTTCCTCATCTGAAGCTTTTACTGATAAGTAGAAATGAGGGACTATGGTGTTTATCCATTCAACCAGAGACATACGCTTTTGGACTGCAAATAACAAGTACATTCGGTTATTTTAAGAGGATTGTGGTTGAGAGGCATGATATACACAGTCTGCATTCCTTACCCTCAGCCTCGAATGTGGGACTAGACACCATTTCAAAAGCATTTCCTTTAATGTTAAACCTCGGACTGGTATTCATTATGTCAAACTTTTCAGACATGAACTCCAAAACTCATTCATATATGATACGGTAAATGAAGTTCCACATCAATTCAAGTGCTGTGAAAATCTAGAAGGCGGAGAGATTCTAACTCTATTGTCTTCCACGCTACTTTTTTGGGAATGCCCTACAAAGAAGGATGCAACAGTCAATTACAACCTGTGGAAATATACTAATAACATTCACCAGCAACAGATGATTCACACATTTTAAAAAAAAATGCATGACAGAGTTGTAAATACGAGTCATCCATCACTTTCAAGGACATCAGTTCTTGAAGAACATCAAAGTAATCAAAGAGATAAATCTATTAAAGAAATCAGCCAAATAAAACTATAAACAGATTAGCTCTTGATTGCTTAGCTAAAAAAGAAGTAGCTCAATCTTTACAATGTGCAGTAGATTGTCATATGACATAGTGCAACTGTATCAATAATGAAATTATACAGACGTTATGATTTATGAAGAAATCGCGGTGACTTCAACACAATTGATGGACCCATCCCTAAGAGGGACATTGTAAACAACTTGTATCTTCATTCTACCACCAATCACAACTACAACAATACTCGAAACCGGGGTATTCATGCCAGCATAACAAGATTAATTCTATCATCCTATAAGAAAGTCATAACCATTCAAAGAACATAAAATTGTAACATTTGGTAGACAACCCAATGACTTTTTCACATCATATAAAAATGGACAAATTCAAATCAACCAACATAAAGATATGCAGAAAAAAAAAACCAACAAATTGACAATAATTACAGAAATTATATAACAACTTACACTTAATCAACAATGGCTGAATCAAATAACCCCACAAAAAAAAAAAAAAAAAGTATCAAGAAAATTGAAATTTAGAGAAATTTTAAAAAACAAGGAAGAAATTAGTTAATACCAGAAGAAAATAGGAAGATGATGTGACGTGGGTATAATGGGAAAGAAACATGAGGAGATGTAAATGGCATGCCTTTGTTGTAGGAATAAAACAAATTGGCGACCGTTGAAATTTTGAATATTTGTTAATTGACAACATTATATTATACAATCTTAAACCGGCCACTTTCATTGTCTTACGAAGTTTGTTGGAAATGGTCTCACATGGCGCCATGGCGGGAACTCTGACCTTCTTCCTTTGGGTCTTTCTCTTTTGGATTAGACATTAGAGTGCGTAATCTTGATTTCAATTGTGCTTAATGGCGGTTAGAGACTTAGAGGTGCTAATTTGGCTGTTTGGGGTCGGGTTCGGTGAGGACGGATTGGGATGGGTTGGGTCAATTTTAAATTTAGGTCATGTTAGATTATTGTGTCTATACAAATTAAAATTTAAAAAAGATTTTTTTTGGGTCGATTTCGGGTGATTGCGTGATGAATCAAGAATCAATCAATCAATAACATAATAAAAAGTGAATCTAACATGATACTTGTCATGTTTTGATTAAAAGTTTTCCCGTCACTTTTACTTTCCTTTTTTCTTTTTAATTACAAATGTTCATGAGTATTAATTTATATATCCCATATTATTTAACTTTAATTTGACAACTTAATACAAAGTATATTCTATACGCATTCAATGAAATATTTTAACATATCTTTTATATATTTTATAATAGATTTTTTTTTTTGAGGCATTATAATAGATATTTAATAAACAAACATATATTACGTATAAGTTGATATATATATATATATATATATATATATATATATATATATATATATATATATGTATATGTATATGTATATTTTGGAATAATGTATTCCTATATTCCGTATCATTCTACGTCATATTTTTTTCTTTTAAAGTTTTTTTTTGCTATGAGGATTGACACTTTTGCCTTTATTACATATTGTTGATTTATTTATAATAATAACACTACAATTCAATAACTATATATATATATATATATATATATATATATATATATATATATATATATAATTATTAATTGTCACGAAAATTAGTCAATTAAATTTGTATAAGACATTTTGCCGATCAAATTAAGTATGCTATAAAATATTGTGTCAGTCAAAATATGCCTATAAAATAAGGACATATATATATATAAGTACATTGCACAGGTTATAACTAACATAAAATTTCATTCTTATCTAAAACCCTATAATTGTTTCAAAAAAAATATATAAAACCCTATAATCATTAAAATTGCGTTTTTTTTAAATGTTTAATGATCAATAATTTTTTATATCAATATAATTTGAAATTCAAGTTAGTTTCTTTTTAAAGAGGTTAAGTATTTGTTTCAATTAAAAAAATTTATTTTTTTAAAAATTTATTGTTAAATTGACATTGTAATTCATAATTAGGTTAAGTAAATACTGTGCGTTGCACGAGACTTAAACTAGTGTTGATACTAAACATGAAAGCGAAAAATCCGAACCGAAATATTAGATTCTGTCGGGCATTGTTTGGGTTTTCATTTTTTTGGATTTTTGATTTTAAAAGTCATATGATATACTTTCTCTGTTTTTTTAAATTTTTTTTTTTTAATGCAACACGCCATCTTGGCAAGTTTTTTAGGAGTTGATTAGAGTAGGTTAATGAGTGATTTTACTAAAAATAATTTGAACACCAAAGAGAAGGGTAGCTACTACGTATATAAATTATTTTGATTAATTTGTCTGTTTACATTGCTTAATCTCTTTCTTAAAGTGTGTGCCAAGATGTTGTGTTGCATTTAAAGAAAACAAAGGAAGTATATCATCAAAAGTGTGTGTGTGTGTGTGTATATATATAACAATACTACAAACTGAAAACAAAGACGAAAAAGGTTGATTTTAAAATTACTCGTAAAATAAATAAATTAATTAAAAAAAACAAACTGAAAGTATAGATAATCGACCTATAACTAATAGAAAAACTTAAATGAGCATCGCAGTATGCGCACAGTGCGGAAAAAAATAGGTGGGATTGAGGGGAAGAGTTTTCGCACCGATTGTAACCAAACCGGTGCGAAAAATGAGTTAATCACACCGGTTCGGTTCGAACCTGTGCGAAATCTATTGTAAAAAAAAAGAGAGCCTTTTTATCTTCTTTCTCTTTCATTCCTCGATCTCTCCTCCTCTCTCATCTACAACATTAACAATGGAGGCCCTCAAACTCCTTTTCTCTCCTTCGATCTCTTTCTCCATAACCGCTGATTTCCCTTTCCTTTTCTCTCTCCTTCGTTCTCCTTCTCCATAACTGCGCCGCAAGCAACGCCGCTCTCCTTCTCCTTCTCAATCCGAAATCGGCCGCCTTCTCAGTATTTTACTTTGGTGGGTGTTTATTGTGCGGTCTCAACGGCGTCGTTTGGGTATTTGCATCCTTGGAAATCATCGTCTTCTACTAAGAAGTATCAGCTAGGGTTTTCTCTTTCTTTCTCTTTGTGTTCATTGTTTTACAATTAGGGTTTTGCAATTTGAATGTGTTGAATTTGTTTGGGTTTGTTGAATTTGATATTTGGTTGTTTTTTTTGATGTCCTGGTATTAGTGTTGGTATGATGTTTTGGCCTTTTCTTTCGATAAGTGTGTGTAAATTTAAGGAGTTGTTGATATTGTTGTTTACAGTACAGTAATAATCTGGAGGCTCTCTCTTGCCTTCTCTTTCCTCAAACTCGCAGAATCTGTGTTCTCCGATGAAGAAAACCTACAACCAAGTTCATCGGGGTTGATTTTCGATCTCGAAACAGAACCAGCAGCAGTGGAGTGTAGATCTGGTGGTTCTGGTTCTATAAAACGTACCAAAATTAGTGGTTCTTCTAACCCTAGATCCAGATTGGTTCGGAAAAACGCTCCAAGAGTCTCCTTGTTGACCCTTCAAAGAATTCACGGTGCTGGAGCAAAAATCTCTAGCAAGGAAGATGTACATCTTCCTGATGAGTCCCCCTTTACGAACTGAAATTGCTTGCTCACAATTCTTGGTAGATTTCTGTAACCCTTACCTTCTCTGTTTTTTTTAGTTTTCTGATTTTTTTTAAATTCTTTACTTAGATGCATGTTGAAGGTGGAGGTAGATGTCTGATTCATGTTGTATGCCGCGTTGCTGGCTAGGTTGGATTTTGGTAATTGTTGATGGTATTGTTGTTGTTATTGTTGATGGTATTGTTGATGCAGGTAATTGTTGGTAACTGTTGATGGTATTGATGTTGATATTGTTGATGGTATTGTTGATGCTGGTTATTGTTGGTAATTGTTCATGCCAGGTTGGATTTTGGTAATTGTTGGTAATGGTTCATGTTGGTAAATGTTGACGGTATTGTTAATGGTAATTATTGATGGTATTGTTGATGGTCCCTGAATGGTCCCTGTATTGTTGGTTTTTGCTGTTGCCAGTACATTATTGTTGAGAGGATATCATGTGTGCAAGACAGACCTTAATGTGTTGAGTCCGTTGGCCATAAGTAGTTAGACTAATATAATCCATATGATGAAGGGACTTACTTACATCTTACATCTTCTCATTGTGATTTACTCCACAGTTCGAGAAGTTTTTGTATACGTTTCATGTTATTGTTATGAATGATGAGCATGTGTACTATTAATGTGCCTAATGAAACTCTTTGAGCGGACTTGTTGTGTGCTATAGATATCATGATGCGTTGAGTCC